GCAGACTCTAGGGGCCTTGCAGCAGCCTGGAGGCCGATCTTACAATTAGGGGTTTGTTTTTTTTTTATTGGCTATTGGCATTTTATATATTTTAGTTGGGCCCATGTTTTGGTATTTGGAGATTACATGTGGAGGGGGAGAAGAGGTTATTTTTATTTTTTTTTTGGTTTTTTCAGCATGCTATTTATATTTTAAATTAAGGATTGTAATCTGCCAGCAACCCTATGTCAAAGAAAATTGATCCTACACATCCAGCAGTGTGAGGAGACCTGTAATAGTGGCACATGGCAGAGTGTGGCGATGGAGACAGCAGCAATGGGATGGCACCGTCACAGGGACGCATGAAGTGACTCTGGACCTTGGCAGCTGCATGAGGAGGCGGTAAAGGGGCCTATGCAGATTAGGGCCTGCAGCAGCAGCCTATGGAGGCCCGTAATCTGCCAGCACCCTATGTCAAAAAATTCTAAACACACCAGCAGTGTGTGAGGAGACCTGAAAAGTGGCACATGTGCAGAGTGTTGGCGATGGAGACAGCAGCAATGGGAGGCCGTACAGGGACCCATGTAGAGTGACTCTGGACCTGGCAGGCAGCATGACGGAGGCGGGTTATGTAGGGGCCCCTATGGCAGAATTAAGGGGCCTGGCAGCAGCAATGGGTATGCCCGTAATCTGCCAGCACCCTATGTCAAAAAATTCTACACACCAGCAGTGTGTGAGGAGACCTGAAAGTGGCACATGGCAAGATGTGGCGATTGGAGACAGCAGCAATGGGAGGCCGTACCAGGTGACCCATGAGAGACTCTGGACCTGGCAGCAGCATGAGAGTGGCGGTGGTTATATAGGGGCCTCATGGCAGATTAGGTGGCCTGGCAGCAGCTATGGAGGCCCGCTAATCTGCCAGCACCCTATGTCAAAAAATTCTACACACCATCAGTGTGTGAGAGACCTGAAAGTGGCACAGGCAGAGTGTGGCGATGGGAGACAGCAGCAATAGGAGGCCGTAACATTGGACCCATGAGAGACTCTGGACCTCGGCAGCAGCATGAGGATGGCGGTATATAGGGGCCTATGGCAGAATTAGGGGCCTGGCAGCAGCAATGGGAGGCCCGTTAATCTGCCAGCACCCTATGTCAAAAAATTATACACAACCTGCAGTGTGTTGAGGAGACCCTACTGAAAGTGGCACATGAGTGAGTGTGGCGTTCTTTGGAGACACAGCAGCAAATGTGGAGGCCGTACAGGGACCCATGAGAGACTCTGGACCTGGCAGCAGCATGAGGAGGCGGTATAATGGTATATAGTGGGGCCTATGGCAGATTAAGGGGCCTGGCAGCAGCAATGGGAGGCCCGTAATCTGCCAGCAGCACCCTATGTCAAAAAATCTTTAACACACCAGCAGTGTGTGTGAGGAGACCTGAAAGTGGCTCATGGCAATAGAGTGTGGCGATGGAGGACAGCAAGCAATAGGAGGCCGTACAGGGACGCATGAAGAGACTCTGGACCTGGGCAGCAGCATGAGAAGGCGCGGGTGATATAGGGGCCTATGGCAGATTAGGGGCCTGCGAGGCGAAGCAGCAATGGAGGCCCTAATCTGCCAGCACCCTATGTTCAAAAATTCTACACATGACCAGCAGTGTGTGAGGAGACCTGAAAGTGGCACATGGCAGAGTGTGGCGATGGAGACTAGCAGCAATAGGAGGCCGTACAGTGGAACCCTGAGTAGACTCTGGAACCTGGCAGACAGCATGAGGAGGCTGGGTTATATAGGGGCCTATGGCAGATTAAATGGGGCCTGGCAGCAGCAAGGGGAGGCGTAATCTGCCAGCACCCTATGTCAAAAAATTCTACACACCAGCAGTGTGTGAACGAGACCTGAAAGTGGCACATGGCAGAGTGTGGCGATGGAACAGCAGCAATAGGAGGCCGTACAGGGACCCATGAGAGACTCTGGACCTGGCAGCAGCATGCATGAGGAGGCAGGTATATAGGGGCCTATGGCAGATTAGGGGCCTGGCAGCAGCTATAGGGAGGCCCGTAATCTGCCAGCACCCTATGTCAAAAAATTCTACACACCAGCAGTGTGTGAGGAGACCTGAAAGTGGCACATGGCAGAGCTGTCGATGAGACAGCAAGCAATAGGGAGGCCGTACAGGACCCACATGAGAGACTCTGGACCTGCAGCAGCATGAGGAGGCGGTATATAGGGGCCTATGGCAGATTAGGGGCCTGGCAGCAGCAATGGGGTGGCCCGTAATCTGCCAGCACCCTATGTCCAAAAAATTCATACACACCAGCAGTGTGGAGGAGTCCTGAAAAGTGGCACATGGCAGAGTGTGGCGATGGAACAGACAGCAGACCCTGAGTGAATGGAGGCCGCATGAACAGGGAGGCCCATGAGAGACTAGCCCGAATCTGGACCTAGGCAGCAGAAGCTTGAAGGAGGCGGTAAATAGGGGCCTCAGTGTGCGAATGGCAGATTAGGGGCCATGAGAGGCAGCAAAGCTATAGGGAGGCCCGTAATCAGGCCGAGCAGCTTTGGAAACCCTAGCTGCCAGCACCCGATTCAAAAAATCTCTACACACCAGCAGTGTGTGAGTGAGACCTGAAAGTGGCACATGGCAGAGTGTGTGGCGATGGGAGACAGCAGCATGAGCGTGGCCGTACATGGGACCCATGAGAGTACTCCTGACCTGGCAGGAGCAATGAGGAGGGCGGTATTATAGGGGCCTATGGGCAGGATAGAGGTGGCCTGGCAGCTAGCTATAGGAGGCCCCGTATCTGCCCAGCACCCTATGTCATAATAATTCTACACACCAGCAGTGTGTGAGGAGAACCTGAAAGTGGCACATTGGCAGAGTGTGGCGATGGAGACAGCAGCAATGGGAGGCCGTACAGGGACCCCATGAGAGACTCTGGGACCTGGCAGCAGCATGGAGGAGGCATGGTATAATAGGGCCCTATGGCAGATTAGGTGGCCTGGCACAGCACAATGGGAGGCCCGTAATCTGCCAGCACCCTATGTCAAAAAATTCTACATCATACACCAGCAGTGTGTGAGGAGACCTGAAAAGTGGCACATGGCAGAGTGTGGCGATGGAGACAGCAGCAATGAGGAGGCCGTACAGGACCCCATGAGAGACTCTGGACCTGGGCAGCAGCATGAGGAGAGGAGGGCTGGATATATAAGGGTCCTCCTATGGCAGATATTAGGGGCTGGCAGCAGCTATAGGAGGCCCGTAATCTGCCTGCAACCTATGTCAAAATATTCTACACACCAGCAGTGTGAGAGGGAAGACCTGATAGTGGCAACATGGCAGATGGTGTGGCGATGGGAGACAGCAGCAATAGGATGGAGGCCGTACAGGGACCATGAGAGACTCTGGACCTGGCAGCAAGCATGATGGAGGCGTTATGGGTGTATAGGGGCCTATGGCAGATTAGGGGGCCTGGCATGCAGCAATTGGGAGGCCCGTAATCTGCCAGCACCCTATGTCAAAAAATTCTACACACCAGCAGTGAGTGAGGAGACCTGAAAGTGGCACTTTGTTTGGGCAAGACGTGTGGCGAGATGGAGACAGCAGCAATGGGAGGTTTTGTACCAGGTGACCCATGAGAGACTCTGGACCTGCAGCAGCTTTGAGGAGGCATGGTCTCTATAGGGGCCTATGGGCTGATTAAGGGCCTGGCAGGAGCTTATAGAGGCCCGTAATCTGCCAGCACCCTATTGTCAAAAAATTTCTACACACCAGCTGTGTGTGAGGAGTCCTGAAAGTGGCAACATGTCAGCTAGTGTGGCGATGGAGTCAGCCATGCTATGGGATGGCCCCGTACAGGGACCCATGAGAGACTCTGGACCTGGCTGTCAGCATGAGGAGGCGGTATATAGGGGGGGCCTATGGGCTTTGATTAGGGCCTGGCAGCAGCCAATGGGAGGCGCCGTTAATCCTTGCCAGCACCCTATGTCAAAAAAAATTCTACACACACCTGAGGCAGCCGTGCTGTTGAGGCCACGACCTAAAGTGGCACATGCGCAGAGTGTGGCGATGGAGACAGCAGCAATTGGAGTCCGTACAGGGACCCATGAGAGACTCTGGACCGTTGGCTGCCAGCATGAGGAGGCGGTAGTACATAGGGGCACTATGGCAGATTAGGGGCCTTGGCTGCAGCATGGAAAGGCCCGTTAATCTGCACGAGCACCATATGTCAAAAAATTCTACACATCCAGCTGTGTGTGAGGATTACCTGAAAGTGGCCAAGCAATGGCAGAGGCTAGCTGTGGCCGATGGGAGACAGCAGCAATGGGAGGCCGTACAGGGACCCATGGAGAGACTCTCTGGACCTGGCAGCATGCATAAGTAGGCGCGTATATATGGGTGCCTACTGGCTCCTCCTCCTTAGGGGCCTGGCAGCTCCAGCTATGGGAGGCCCTATGAAAAACCTGCCAGCACCGGCTATGTCATAAAAATTCTGAGCACACTCCAGCAGTGTGTGAGGAGGACCTCGAGTGGCTCCTGGGGGGGGCCCCACTCTTCTCCTGTCCCTGCCCCCACCCCCCATCCAGAGGTGTGCTTTGCGATGGACTACACTCTACAAAGCAGCAATGTTGAGGACGTAGCAAGTTCCAACCCAAGAGAGACTCAGGACTGGCATCCCCCGCCCCCCCCAGCAGCATGAGGAGGCGGTGGGTATATAGGGGCCTACTGGCAGGGATTAGGAGCCTGCGCCAGCAGCTTTGGGAGGCACCGTAATGCCAATGGCCAGCACCTATGTACACAAAAAATCTTCTACACACAAGCAGTGTGTGAGGAGACCTGAAAGTGGCACATGGCAGAGTGTGTGAACGATGGGAGAAGCAGCAATAAAATATGGAGGACGGTACAGGGGACCCATGAGAGACTCTGGACCTGGCAGCAGCATGAGAGGCGGTATATAGGGGCCTATGGCAGATCTTATGGGCCTGGCAGCAGCAATGGGAGGCCGTAAATCTGCCAGCACCCTATGTCAAAAAATACTACACACCACAGTGTTGTGAGGAGACCTGAAAAGTGGCACATGGCAGAGTGTGGCCGATGGAGACAGCAGCAATGGGTAGGCAGTACATGGGACCCATGAGAGACTCTGGACCTGGCAGCAGCATGAGGAGGCGGGTATATAGGTGCCTATGTCAGATTATGGGCGCCATCGGCTAGCATGCAAGTGGGGAGGCCGTAAACCCTGCCAGCACCCTACTGTCAAAAAAATTTTTTCTACAACACCAGCAGTGTGAAGGAGAACCTGAAAAGTTGGCACATGGCAGAGTGTGGCGATGCAGACAGCATGCAATAGGTCGGCCCGTACAGGGACACCATGAGAGACTCGGAACTTCGGCAGCAGCGATGAGGAACGGCGGTATATAGGGTGACTATGGCAGATTATGGGGCCTGGCAGCATGCAATGGGAAGGCCCGTAATTCTGCCAGCACCCTATGTCAAATAATTTCTCACACACCAGCTGTGTGTGAGGGAGGACCTGAAGAGTGGCACATGGCAGAGTGTGGCGATGGAGATGGAGACAGCAGCAATGGGAGGCCCCCGTACAGGGACCCATGAGAAGACTTCTGGACATCGGGCAGAGCAGCATGAGGAGGCTGTATACTAGGGCGCCGTATGGCAGATTAAGGAGAGGGGCCTAGGCAGCAGCAATGGAGAGTCCCGTATCGTTATCTGCCAGCACCCTATGTCAAAAAATTCAACACACCAGCAGGTGTGTGAGGAGACCTGAAAGTGGCACATGTTTGAGGCATGAGTCAATGGCGGATTTAGTCAGTTGTGGTCAGGAAACTGGTGTCTGGTTTGAAATCCAGACTAATCCCACGCCGATTTCATTTTTCACAAACGTGAGTTCCTCTCCACAACTGTTGGGTGGACAGTCGTGTCCTCCGCGGAGTTACAATACCTCCTGCCGCACTAAAACACGGCGCTCCGATGCCACGCTACTCGGCCGGGCATGAACAGCCTTTCAGGGCAAATTCAGCTAGTTGGGGCCAAAGGTCAAGTTTCGTTGACCAGTAGTCAAGGGGATTGTCTACCTCGGTTGGCAGGGTGCTGTCCAAGTAGGCCCGAAGCCTGTTGTTTGAGGTCCTGCTTCAGGTCCACACTGATGCTTGCTGGCTGCTGCTGCTTGCTGCTGCTGCTGCGGCTGGTTAGTAGTTTCCCTCACTGCGCTGGTGAAGAAAGCTACTCATCATCGACTGCAGACTGAGGCAGCCGCTGCTGGTGGAGCTGCCACTGCTCCTACCACCCCACCCCTCCCCTGCTGCCAATGGCAGCGGAACGCGAGCCGCACAGGGCCCACAGTGTCTGAGGATGGACGTTGGCGCACAAAGGCATGAGACCAACTGACTACATAGGTGGTTTTTATAGTACGTTATTTTGGCCTCCCTCTCAGCAGGTGTGAAAAAGGCCACCATTTTTGGAACGGTAGCGAGGGTCCAACACAGGTGGACAGCCAAAAGTCATCCCTCTGTCTGATGGTTATTATTCGTCCTGTCGCTAACGCAAGCAACCGAGCATGCTATGGGCCATTTGTGCCAAGGAATGCGATGGGACCTCCCTGCCTCCATCTCCACATCCCATACCCCGCAAACTGCCCAACGGTGCGTCTGGTCCTCTGTCTCCTCCTCCTCCTCCTCTACCAGATGCTCCTGCTCATCCACTCCTGTCCGCTGAGTGGAAAAAACCACACCCATTTCACTCAATAATTCCTGAGCACAAATGTCCTCCTCTACCTCCTCCTCTTCTTCCTGTCTCCTGCCCCCACAGGGGGTCATGTGGCGTTGAGATCTGTGCGCCACGTCTACCGCACCCTGACCAGCCATTGTTAACAGCATTTGTTCCAGGACGTGCAACAGAGGAATGACAGCTCGTTCATCCCATAGTCCTGCCTGACTCACGAATAGCGTGGCCTCCTCAAAGGGCCTATGAAAAGCAAGCGGCAGGTGTCACGCATGAGCTGCCAATGGCTGACATCGAAGTTACACAGGGGTGAGAGTACCTTTATCCGATTGTAACATCAGGAAATCGTTGATGGCCCTTTCGCTGCTCGTAAAGGGCGGTCTAACATGTGTTAGGGTTGAATTCCACCTTGTTGCAAACGACGCAGATCAGGCGATGATGTGGTATTCCGTCTGCCGCTGCAGCTCAAGGAGGGTGTGCTTTTGCGGTGTAGGAATGGCTGAAATGCATGCAAAGTTTACGTGACATTTTTAAGGATGTCTTGCAGTGGGATGGTGGATTTTATAGGAAACGCTTGACAACCAGATTGAACACGTGAGGCCATGCATGGCGCCATGGCACAACCTTCCTTGACGCAGAGCAGACCACCATGTTCTTTCCCGTGTCGGTCAACATGGTTCCGATTTTTCAGTTTGCGCGGAGACAGCCATCCTGTCGATTTCTCTGTTCATTACACTCAGAAGTTCCTCCCCTGCGTGACTACGTTCGCCAAGGCAATACCAGGTGCAGAACAGCGTGACACCGTTAGCGCCCTGCACATGTGATATGCCGGTCGGTAATGGGACTTGGCATGGGGGCCGGGGGTGGCGGCTGAGGACACGGCGGAAGAAGAGGTGGTAGAGGCGGACATCTTTGCCGGACCAAGGTCGTGCAAACGTGGAGGGCAAAAGCGGCGTGACCTGACCAAGTTTGCTGGTGCGGCTGTGACGGCACCATGTTCACACCAGTGGGCCGTAAATGACATGTACTGTCCCTGACCGTAAGTTACAGCTCCACATCGTCGGCGCTGCCGTGCACTTTGGCAGAGACCGACATGCTCAAAAGACTGGCCCACCATCTCTTTTCTACATGTGAATGCAGGGCTGGCACTGCCTTTTTGGCGAAGAAATGACGGCTTGGCACTCTCCACCGCGGCGCGGCAGCAAGCCATCATCGATTTCTCTGAAAGGTGCTGAGTCCACCACTTGAAAAGGGAGGGACTGCAGCACCAGCAACTTGGACAGGAGGACGTGAAGTTCAGCTTTTGCACCGTCGGGTGCGTGCCTCGCAAACTGTTGTCTCTTTGAAACGGATTCCAAGAAAGACCTTGCTGACGGAAATCCGTGGAAGAGGAGTAGCAGGAGAAGGAGCATTCTGAACGAGCGGAAGATGCCAACGAGCGACACAACTTCCCCTCAGCAGAGGTGTTGGAGCCTTGACTGGCTGATGGAGGGCGATTGACATCGGGTGACGGGAGCAAGTAGACGGAGCGGGTAGATGGAGCGGGGGCTGGGGCGGGCAGAAAACCGCTGTATCTTTATCACGGTTTTTCCCAGGCCACCAAATGGCGACGCTGCATATGCTGCCGCAAATGCTGTAGTCCCAACATGGCCCCCTGGCCACGCTTGACTTTCCTGCCACATGAGTCGACATACGGCTACGTTACTTCCTCGGCGGCTTGACGAAAAATTGCCACACCGCCCCCCCCGAGTAGGAAACTTTGCCCCGATAACTCCTCACAGGCTGACTGCTGCTTCCTCCGTGCACACCGGCACCACTACTGGCCGTGGTGGTAGGCTGCAGTGGAGCTGGTGCTCTACTCCGTGGCCGTTTGGCTCCACTGACACTGCTTTCCACTGACACTGCTGCGACCCTGCTGCTGTCTCCCTGGCAACCCACCGACTGTTTCGCTCACTGCTCAAGCTGCACATACCTCTTCTCCTGATGATGCGGAAGAAATTGCCTGATGACGACGAGGGCTGCTCCAAGTGCGATCAACCTCCTCATCATCAAGTAGGGTCCTCCGCCTCACTACTAGCCCCCTGGCTGCGTCTGGGTCATGCGAGTACAGACCTGTCTCTAGGACCGAGCTACTCAACCGGGCCACTCTATCCTCGCCACTACCTTCTTCACGCCTGGCTGCGCTGAAAAGGCCGATGTCTCCCCCCGTTCCTGACCCGCCCTCTGTTAGCTCTTCCTCACTGTACAGTGGGGCTGATGCCCACAGCATGCGATACTTCGCTTGGTGAGGGAACACCAAAGGACAGGGGGCAGGTAGAGGAACACGTGATTTCAGTGGGCTTGGTCCCGGGCCATGCCCAACTAACGGTTGTGTCTGACGTACCCACCGACCATTGGCTGTAGGTGTCAGAAAGGTGACCTGGGAAGAGGAAGACGACCGAAGCCAACCATATCGATGGACGGCAGGGTTGTCGGTGGAGACACGACCGCTGGATGACACCGGAGCACTGGCCTCTGGCTGCGAATAGTGCTGCTCGACCCCTTCCATCTGCTGCCCACGTCTGATCGATCTCCTAATAAACATTGCCTCCTCTGCCACTCCTCTGCATGTTGTCTGACATACTCTTTAATTAAATCGATTATGTGTCCCTGAGTAACAATTCTGTTCCCCTGAGTAACAATTCTGTGTCTGTGCGAGTAACAATTCTGTGGCCCTAAGTAACAGTTCTCTGTGGGCCTCAGTAACAATTCTGTGTCTGTGCGAGTAACAATTCTGTGGCCCTAAGTAAACAGTTCTGTGGCCCTCAGTAACATTTCTGTGTCCCTGATTAACGTTTCTGTGGCCCCAAGTAACAGTTCTGTGGCCCTCAGTAACAATTCTGTGTCTGTGCGAGTAACAATTCTGTGTCTGTTGCGAGTAACAATTCTGTGGCCCTAACAGTTCTGTCGGCCCTCAGTAACAATTCTGTGTCCCTGATTAACGTTTCTGTGGCCCCAAGTAACAGTTCTGTGGCCCTCAGTAACAATTCTGTGTCATCTGTGCGAGTAACAATTCTGTGTCTGTGCGAGTAAACAATTCTGTGGCCCTAAGTAACAGTTCTGTGGCCCTCAGTAACAATTCTGTGTCCTGATTAACGTTTCTGTGGCCCCAAGTAACAGTTCTGTGGCCCTCAGTAACAATTCTGTGTCTGTGCGGAGTAACAATTCTGTGTCTGTGTCTGTGCGAGTAACAATTCTGTGGCCCTAAGTAACAGTTCTGTGGCCCTCAGTAACAGTTCTGTGTCCCTGAGTAACAATTCTGTGTCTGTGCGAGTAAGAACAATTCTGTGTCTGTGCGAGTAACAATTCTGTGGCCCTAAGTAACAGTTCTGTGGCCCTCAGTAACAGTTCTGTGTCCCTGAGTAACAATTCTGTGTCTGTGCGAGTAACAATTCTGTGGCCCTAAGTAACAGTTCTGTGGCCCTCAGTAACAATTCTGTGTCCCTGATTAACGTTTCTGTGGCCCCAAGTAACAGTTCTGTGGCCCTCAGTAACAATTCTGTGTCTGTGCGAGTAGTAACAATTCTGTGTCTGTGCGAGTAACAATTCTGTGGCCCTAACAGTTCTGTGGCCCTCAGTAACAATTCTGTGTCCCTGATTAACGTTTCTGTGGCCCCCAAGTAACCAGTTCTGATGGCCCTCAGTAACAATTCTGTGTCTGTGCGACTGTAACAATTCTGTGTCTGTGCGAGTAACAATTCTGTGGCCCTAAGTAACAAGTTCTGTGGCCCTCAGTAACAATATTCTGTGTGTCCCTGATTAACGTTTCTGTGAGGCCCCAAGTAACAGTTCTGTGGCCCTCAGTAACAATTCTGTGTCTGTGCGGTAACAATTCTGTGTTGTGCGAGTAACAATTCTGTGGCCCTAAG